AGGGAAAGACAAATTACTTCCCCACTGAGCAACTTTCCTAATCTTAAGAATCTAATTTATTGGACCAATCTTATGACTTCTGATTCATGCAGTTAGATATATATATATTATATGGTAGACATATTAACTAAAAAATTATCTATATTGAAATGTACATACAATTGTGAATATTCTGATTATATCTAATATACAATTCTTGGCCTTTTAGTTAAATTATTACAAATATTCACTATGGAAAATCTAGTAACTATAAATAGATTTGAGTGATACTTACATCTCGTGAATCAACAGCGGCATACATGATGTCCATCCAGCCTTTAAATGTGGCCTGTAAATAACATATATTTGAATTCTACATAGAAACCTAATCTAAGAATATGCATTTTACCATATGAAAATCTGACAATGTTGGTACAAATAACTTTTGTACAATATTATGAAATTTTCTATGAAAAGATTGAAATGAATTAAATGGATAATTAAAATTGAAATAGAACAAAATTTTATTTAGAGTCTGGAACTCATTTGTTTCTCTTGAAAGATTTTCTATTTTTTTCCACACTAGAATTTAACTAGATTCATAAAACTCTCATCTCAGTCTCAACTCCCTTTCATACCAGAAAGTAAGCTCTGTGATTCCAGTCTATGGCATATTTAAACACAACTCACTCATTTTCATTAACTAATTATTGATTAGTAAATATACAGTCAAAATTATTAAACACATTTTGAAATCCACTCCATAAAATGTGCATTTCCACACATAGTAAAACTATGCTCTTTAGATGTTGGTACAATTAATTAACTGGCTATTAATCCATACCTTTAATTCATTACTACAATATATAAATTGTTATTTTAATACATAAAGTTGCTCCTTTGGCAATGATTTCTACAGAAAACTAAAAATAGTAATAGCAGAACAGAGATCAATAATACAACAAGAAAAAAACAACAGAAATATAAAATCATGTTAAAACATACTAAAAGCTGGACACGGGAAAACACATTATAAAATAACTACAAAACATCTTTACGGTAAGGTCAAGCTAATAGTATAGGAGTAATCATTAACTTTTTACTGTCAGATATTAATCATTCAAACAAGGAACATCAGAGAAAAATGATCTTACTTGAACTATTTTAAAAACTGACACAGTAGCCACTTACCACTTGAAGCAATGCGAGATAGCCAGCACCAACATTATCAAAGTTTACTTTCACATTTTTCCACCGAGCTTGCTTGCCAAGAGCCTGACAGTCACTCAAATTGTTAACTTCACTAACTTCAAACATGTTACCCGTTGTTGTGTTAACACAGTGGTAGAACTTGCCAGCAAACAAATTCACACCCATGATGCTAAAGATCAGCCAAAAGATGAGACAAACCAACAGCACATTCATGATAGAGGGAATTGCTCCAACAAGAGCATTCACAACCACCTAGAAAAAGACACGAAGATAAAGCAGCTTACAAATCATTAAAATGGAAACCATTTCTTTCATTTATTTAATACTAAAATAGATGTGAAAAGAATTAAATAAAAATCTAGGTAGACAGGTTGTTTCTTCTGTTATATTCTAGGACATATTTGATAAAGGAAAACAAATGGTGACACAACAGAAGAACTAAAGGATTTAAGGAAAGCAAAATATGTCAAAGTGTGAAAAGAAATTACAAAACCTGATATAGATGGAGTCAAAAAATGTATGCTGGGGAAAAAAAAGAAAAAGATGCATTAAATACCAACAGAAGAAATAATCATTCAGTAATACATTTTAATTTTCAAGAGTGTTAATGAATGATTGATGATTTGAAAATATGATCAAACAAATCCTTTATAAATAAACAAAGTATTAATAATGCATTAAATCTATATCCGCAGATCAAGTTAACTTTTCATGGCTATGAAGAATGAGATTAGGAATTTACAAGGTTCTTTTATCCCCTATTGGTAAATTCCAGTTTTAAAAAGTATTTTAAATTAAGAAATGAGATGGAATTTATTTCTGGACACGAAAGTACTGAATATATTCAATCCCCATTATTATTATTCCAAATCTCTTAAATGTTCATTTCGGGGCACATGTTACCTCACCAGGCTGATCTATTTCATGAAGGAGAAATTCAGTCACCCTTCCTCTAATTAAATTCAGAAAATATTAAATTGTACTTTGAAATCTTTAGGGAGGTCAACAGCATCTTTTTCTTATCTAATTTAATTTGGTTTATATAGGATTATTTTGTTAAGCATTTATATTAAATGAAACTATTGTTTAATTTTAAAATATTATAAATATCATTTTAAAAATCACCAAAGATTTTTAAGTTGATATCAAAACCTGAAATCCTTAATTGTAAAAATTTCATATGCTACTTGAATTTTATTTCTTTTAGAAATTAAGTCAAATATGTTATAATTAAGCCAGGTTTTTTTCTACTAAAATTTGTGTAAAATGACCTCCACAAGTTCACTTGTCATCAAATAAATGAGTGATACATTTTACCTATGTATAGCTGGAATGTTAATTCTGCCATATGATTGAATTAAAAATGGCAAATAGAATATTTTTCAGATTAGAGAAAATTTATAGTTTTTTAATTTTGTTTAATTACTATCTTTCCTTGAAAATGAATTCTTAATATAAAATCATAAAACCAGGTGAAGGCTTAAGTAATGTCAATAATGATAAAAGGTTTGTGTGAAAAGATCCTGAAATTGTGTAATAATTTTTATAAATTTTGTCTTGTCTTGTGATTATCAAGTAGCAAAGAAATAAAATTATAATGTAAAATCTAGTATTTCTTCGCTTATAGTGCTTCTGAAAATTCTGGAGAGAGTTTTTTTCTCACTGGTGAGTAAATCTCAAAGTCAAGGCCTAAATGTTTTATTGCCCAAACAAACTACTTCCTAACATAAAAGCCCTGTGGCCTAGAAGAAATTCAATATCCACGTACATTTGCAAACTGTATTAAACAAAGCTGGCCTTTATGCTAAATAGTATTTTGAGGGGTGTGGCAAGTGGGTGTGTATGTAAGTTTGTACTTTATGTTTAGATGCATAAAATATACACTAAGGAAGAGAGTTCAAGAGGAAAATATAAGTGCTATAGAAAAAGTGAACCTCATTCAGAACGTTCACTTAAAAGAGATCTATGAAACAAACAACAGGGCTGCCTGCAATACTTAATTATCTTAACCCCCTGCTTTTTTTTGCTTAGGATATATAAATTTTGTTAGAGTCTACTATTTAGTGTTTTCTTGTGCAACAACTATTTTTATTACTGATATTAATCGAAGAAGTGAAAGCACACAAAATCCATTTTACTTTTCATCTGTTACCAGTAAGTTTTGAGGAATAAAGCTACCTGTTGAGAAGGAAAAACCCCTCCTAGAAAGAATATCAGTAGTAAACAGTCATTTCAAAGTGTATAAGCAATGGGAAAGAAATAAATGACAGCACACAGTTTTGGGATATTGTGGAAACATCCTCGAACTGTCATCAGAAGACCTGGATTCTAGTCCTAATTCTGTCACAATTTTTGAGTACCTCTTTCACTTTTAGGAGGCTAGGCTTAGTGATCTCTAAGATTCCTGCTCTGAAATTCTGTAATTCTGTTAAGTAACTTTCAAAGGGTATGGCATTCCTCTGTATCTATATTATTACCTACATCTAATTTTGACACGAATCATCAGAGAGGCTTTACTGTTCTTACCCTCATGCCTTCAAACCGGGATAAAGCTCTTAGAGGTCTTAAAGCTCGTAGTGTCCGGAGGGATTTGATGGCACCAAGTTCTGAGTAGCCGAGAGCATTGGCTACCAAGCTAACCAAAGAAACCTACAAAAAGAAAAATTATTAATCAGTCCACCAAGAAATAAACTTCTGACTAAAGGCGTAGGATGTGGTGTCTGTCCTTTAGTGACACCAAATAAAACTTAAGACATATTTTGGCAGCCTTCATTTTCCACACAGTGGGATCTTTTTATATTGCCAGCCTCATCTTGTGCTATTGCTTTTCTTATCAGTGAAACTGAGTCCTTGATCATTTTTATAAACATTGTAAACATTGTTACTATGGAGCCCTTTTTAACCTGTGCATATAAACTACTGATGTTTCAGGACTTGGTTCAAAAGCTATATCCTCCATATATCTTTACTTAATAACATTGATTAGAATTCATGTTTTTTTCTTGATTTTGTGTAGTATCTTGGTTATGTGCATGAGAGGCATTTACCAGGTAACAGAGTCAAATTGGATAGATATCTTCTCTTTTCTTCTAGGTCACATAAACTTTTTATGGGCAGAGATGAAACAGTCTTCTCTTAACATACCTAATACTGTCTGGTTGAATATGCTTTTGTCAATATGTGTTGCACAAATAAACAAGGGGAACATTTAATCAGACCATGTTATAGTTTCATAATATTGAAGAAATTTTTACCTAAACTACTGGACTTATGATTTAGAATATAGTACCTCTCATTCAGAGTGGTAATACAGCTTTTTGATATTTACACATTTGTTAAATTTTACCTATATATATGTGAAAAATTAAAGAAGACGTTTCTTTTTTGGTGGAAGAGATTATATTGGCTTTGATTTACTTTCAACATAACATTTATTGATAATTTACTATGTGCTAGGCTCTGTTCTAAGTGTTCTACCTGTATAAATCTCAAAAATTAAATATTGTTTTGACTTTTTACTGATGAGGAAGTTGAATGGCTCCTCCTCCCCACCCCCAAAGAAAGATGTCATGTATTAAGAGGTGGAACTGGGGCTTCAACCCAAGTGATCTGACTTCAGAACCATATCTTAACCTTTTACATTTATTATCAAAAATTTGTTCCTCATCTGAACCATAAAATACAGAAATGACTTGAGTAATTATCTTTTCAATTCTTGCAATGATTGTACCTAACTAGTTCTTTCCTTGATGCATAGGAAAGAAGTTAATTCATTACGTCTATTGGCTGGCCTAAGGACATTAGCGCTTAATTTCTTGTGAAAAGGACTGTTGAAAATGGCCTAAAAGAATCCCCCCAACAATCTTTTGAGGTCTGATGAAAACAATGATCTGCCCAAGAACACATGGTATAAAACCAAAACCAAGGCTTTAAAGGCAAATGGAGCCACTGTCTCCTCATCGTTTAATTTAGGATACATCTCACAAAATTGAACAGAAAAATAAATGACTTGAGGTTAAACTTGACTAGTGGCAGGATAATTTATTGAGCTATTCATTTCTGTCTAGTGTTTGCTGCTACAGAAGACTGGAAAGATGGAAAGGTTATTAGAGAACAGGCAGACTTCTATATTCTGGGCATTTTTTCCTCAAGAGGCATTAATAGCTACTTTACATTTCTGGAGGTGCTTCTGAAGACTTCCCTCATCCTCCCAACCAAGTTCTTTATTTAAAAGTAAATGGCCGTAAATTTTTCAAGGCCCTAAAAGTAAAGAAGCTCATGCTTTAAAAGAGGAAAAGAAAAAGAGATAATGGCCAGAACCAGAAGTACTGGAAAGATAGGAAATTGTAGTGGGTTTGAAGGCTGGGAGGCACCACTTGCATATAATGACCCCACATGGGCTGGCTCTGTGTGTTGCTAGAGAATCGGTATTCGTGACTTACCGCCTCCCACCCCCCTTTTTTTTAATGGACCTCATGTCATTTTATGTAGCACAAAACTCATTTTATTAAGTTGACTATTGTGAAAAACAATATGCTTTAAAGGTAATTTTGAAATAAATAATTAAAGATTGGCAATATACTTAAAATTTAAACAATGTCCTATATTAGTAGAGCGCTTTATGGCTTACAATGATCTTTTTCACTCATTATGTCTGTCTCAGAGTTGTCAAATGACTAGTCCAAGAAAAGGTAGCAAGGAGCAAGCTCGTAACTGGAATTTAGGTCTTCAGTTTTCGAGTCCAGTGTTTTCACCTCAGCAACTTTGTTCCCAGTTTTTAATACAAGTGTTTTAATATTCATCTCTTTTTTGCCAAACACAAAAGGCACTCCTGCTAATATGTATAAACTGTAACAGAACTCTTTACCAAAAACTGAATTTTTAGTACAAATTTACATGACTCTAAGTACCTCACTATACAGCAAATACTATACAAAATTGTCTGTTTCAGGGGTGGTTTAGTTGTCATCCACATTTTTCAACAGTCCTATGACAGCTGAGACAAAGAAAGAAAATAATAATGCAGGAAGGATTGATTATTCTGAAGAAGACCTTGGAAGTCTTGTGATTGGTTAATGAACCAAGTAATATGAATTTATTTCCCTTAAAAATGGCTAGAGATGATTTTTTAAATATAATATAAAGCTAAAACATTAAAACCATATGATAACCTCCATATATTCAGATAATATATTTCCATCCAAAAGCTTGCATAATTTTCGATGGCAAAATCTAGAAGCATTCCCATTAAAACCAGAAATAAAAGAATATGCCCACCACCAACATTTTTATTTAACACTTTCTGAAAGAAAAAATAAGAGCTATAAGAATTAGAATAACAAAGGAAGTCATTATTTGCAGATATATTATTGCTGACCTCAAAAAAAAACAAAAACAAGAATAAAGCGAAGACTATTATAAATAATAATATAATTATCTTAGGTATTAATATATTTTTTCATTTTTTTTTACAATTGTGTAAGTGTCTTTTGGTACTACACAAACTTTAAAATATTAGAAGAAAAAAAGAATGAGATAATCTAAAATAATATTGTTTTAAGAAGAAGAGAAGAGGACAAAGTCCACCTGATATTACAACCAGTTATAAATCAGCAATAATTAAAGCTGTCATATTAGTAGACAAAGAAATAAATGAAATAAAACAAATCTATATTGGACCCAAGACAATTGGACCCAAGTAAGAGCATGTAGATAAGATTAGCCTTTTAAATGGGAAGTAAAAAGAACAACCTAAGTGAAGGAATCATTGTGAGGAAAATAATCTTGGAGCCTCACCTCATTTCTTACACCAAAATAAGTTCCAGATTGATTGAAAATTAAAACGTCAAAATGGATGAAGAAATGAAACTCAAACTATAAAAGTGGGAAGACATGAGAAAATATTTTAATAATAAAAATAATATTGAAAGGAAATGGTCTTCATAAGCATGAGAAAAACCAGGAAGAAAAAAAGGCTGATAAAATTGATTAAATCAATATGAAAAATTTCTACATGACAAAAAAAAAAAAAAAAAAACAGAAACAACAACCCTAAAAGGAAAAGTAGTCGTTACCACCTGTGACAAAATAGTAAATTTCTTTAATCTGAAAAGTACTCCTACAAATCAGTGACAAAAAGGTTATTAACCAAATAGTATAACATACAGATTTTCTCCAGACTTCCATTTTAATCTGTTTGAACAACACATTTATTTAAACTCACTATTGAAATCCAACTAGAAGGAAAGCAAAGGAGTACAAACAGAGAATGTGAGAAGAGACAACAAAGCGGAGGGTTAAAAAATAAATCTGGACTATGGAGAGCACGGGATTGATCACTTTCTCAGCAGAGCAGAAGCAGCAGAAAGTCAAACCTTTGCAGTGAATTCTTAAAACACTCTGGACCTGGAGTCATTAGGTTCCTCTAAAACGGGGGTAGCAGATGGCACTGAAAACAGAACTGATTGAAATTCTCTATACAGGAAAGGTGAGCACTCTTGAGTCCCTTCATCTACCTCTCTCCAGCCCTGCAGGAGAGCAGAATTGAATAGGACACCTTCACAGCTTACAGAGTAAAATCTATATCTGCTACAGAAGTCAGAACATAGAAACAATAATCCATGTTGCGAGACTTATAAAACCATAAAAGCCTCTTCAAAATATCATGCAGTTGAAGGTTTTCCATTAATAGTACCATAGGGTTTAAATAGCATGTGGATTAATTCAATATTTCTTACAGCAAGGGCATGGACCTTCAGATTTCTAAGTGCACACCTCCCTTCTTCTACTCCACAACAGTTGTGTTTCCTGTCTGCTAAGTGGCTTCTAAAACAGAGCTCAGGTAATGGTGGGGGTCAGGTGCACAGCTGCCGGGGAAGTGGTGTCAAGGGCTGTTGGTGTAGTCGGGAGGGTGGGGATACTGAAGATGGTGGGATTTGGCCAGCTGGGACGGGTAAGTTTTGTGGCAGGAATGGAGTGAAGGATATCCAGTGTCTGTGAGAAGTAAACAGTTTCTATGCAATGTTAGTGAGGAATGAGAGTTCATTTTTATGTATGAGGAGTTTGTAACTCAGGGGCTGACTCTTTCTTTGCCTTTGACATATTTTCTGCTTCTGTCTTAAGCTTTTACAGTTTGTCTTTTACTTTGTACATGATTAGAAAATTCACAATGCTCACAAGCTATATAAAAGCGAACATCTCAGTCATTATGCCTTTTTTTTTTTCTTTTGTGGCAGTGGGAAACGAGATAATGTAACTGTTCGTCCCTGGGGAATGGATGAGTAAATTGTGGTGGTGCATCACTGGACTGCTGTGTGGCAAACAGAGCCATTGGTTCCACAGACATGTCATTTAAGTATTACAAATATCATTTTTTTAAAATGAGAATTTTGACCCAGCTAATTTCTAAGTTTATTTTCTTGTCTGGAATTGTATAGTTCAGTAACTTCAAAATGATTAAAGCAAAATAACACTATATGTTATTTATACTGAAAAGACAAATCACAGTATATTTATGGATACATCATCTTTAACCAAGTACTTCTGTATATAGGGTATCTAATTATGAGTCTATCCTCAGGTTTAATAATTTTTTTTTTTCTGGGAAAATAGGAATTTTGTTTGACATTTTATGTAGTAAACATATGGTC